CACGGTTGTATACTGACCTTGCTTCAGGTAATCTGTAATTTTTTGGAAAAGAACTTTCTGCTTGTCGAGACTTCAAAAATATTTTAAGGGTAAAGTGAAAACTCTCTAGTGTTTGTAAACTCGAAAAATAAGAAGGGACACTCCTCTGTGCAAAAGCATAATTAGAAAAACTCCATAAGAAATTAAGAGTAGCCAAGGCATATGAGTGAATGAAAGTAGTCACAGGATGACTCTGCTCGACTAGCTTGGGGGTGGAAGGTATGCTCCCTTTCACCTAGAGTGTGAAACGGCATGTGTGATGAGCTGACTCCCCTAAAAAAAGAGGTTGATAAATAATTAGGAGTATAAACTAAGCCTGAAAAATAATTTGTTGCCTTGACAAACCAGAAGTGCTTACTTAAGTTTTATAATTACCTTTATGCATAGACTGGTCACAATCACGCACACACTATAGCAAAGAATCCTGATAAGGGAAGGGACTTGACTGACATTACTGTCGAACATGTTGAGGCCAAACATTTTTACTGAGGGTTGAAATCTCAAACCATATGATATTCTTAACACTGCTTGTCATGACAATTTTGATTTTCTTCTAGCTATTGTACATTGCTTGAGGACAAGCAATAGCTTAAGTTTAGGGGTGTGATAACTCCGTAAAAAAACTTAATTTTTAGTCTTTTCACTTGAGTTATTGCTCATCTAAACAAAGTATGCACAACATTTTAGTTGCATTTAGTTGCATATAGGTTGCATTAGCTTGTGGTGGATAAATTTTGCTTAGGTAAGATTTATTTGGTCTGACTGATCCTGCTGAGGAGAAAGGATTGTTTAGATTGTGTTTGTGCAGGAAACTTACATAGGAAGAACATTTCAGTCGTGACAACGTAAATTTGCAAAGGCCAACGGAATAGATGAGAACGTGAGGAGTAGATTTATCTCGCCGAGGCAAAGTTTATCTGAAGAAGTCTGAAGCATGTGTGACGAAACCGCCTATGTCACACGCCAGCTCGATGACCTACTTCACGTGCAAGCAAGCCTTAATTATTCTGACAGCCGCCTTTCCTTTTAAGTCTGGGCATTTAATAACGGTTATTTATGGAAACTCCAAAAGCATGCAAACCCCTAGGAGATCTTTCCTTATAAATAATCAACCGTAGCCGCCAAAGAGAAAAAAATGAAGAAGAGATAAGAGCTTTATCCAAGGCGTGAGCGAGCAACTGCAGTGCTTCTTCACCGTCTACCCACCGACCTTCCTTGGTGTCCTCCATAGCCAGACTTTAGCAGAGCGGTGATCAGGTCTCAAGAGAGGCTGATCACCAAGGCATGAGTGGTACTGATCAGAATTGTCGTGATAGAGCCCCCGATTTTGGGAGTCGTTCTTCCTTTGTTTTTAACTCTTTATTTATTTAGGGTTGTACTAAACGTTGAATTCTGGATGATCTTTGATAGCACCATAAATGTCTTACTTGGTGTTAAACTTTGTTTTGCCTGAACAATATTTTTATGTTTTATGAATGATGAATTATGTTTGCTTATGATTGTTTTGCTCACTGTTTAAATATTTTACCTTACGCTGTAAGAGCATCGAGAGATCTCCTGGGGTATTGGTAAAAAAAGTCTTGGCAATATAAGAGCATCGAGAGATAACCTTTTGTCTAGATAGTGATTCTTAGATTCGAGAGAATTAAGATAAATCCACGTGAGCAATGGAATGAATCTCGGATGGTGAAGCTCTAACTTGTTACCTTAGAGATAAGGAGTGAGTTTCAATCGACTAAAAGGGATAGACGCTAGAGTAGGATAGACAACGCCTATAGTTTACGCTGAGAGGTATTGCTACAAAAAACAGTTTGACACACCAAGGGTTTTAGTTAACACTGAGGAGTATTGCCATAGCAACCTTCTAAGAATACCTAGTAATCCTATCGGGCAGTTTAGCAAGTCATAATAATTCATTATAGACTTAGAATAATTGTTGCCAAAGCAAACGTTTAGCATAAATGCTCTGTGATATATCTGAATATGTGAGGTTGTTTGCATTAGATTTAAATCAACACTTGTCTTGTTTTATTTTATTTTAGCATTCTGCATACTTATTTTGCCTCGACCAAACTTTTATGCAATCGTAAAATCACTTCTTCATTTTATTAGTTCTTAAGTTGATACTTAGTAGGACTTAGTCTATGACACTAGTTCTAGTTGTGGTAAAAATATATTTCTCGACCAATCCCTGTGGAGACGATACTCACTTACCCTATATTACTTGCATCGATTGTGTATACTTGCACAGATTTGCTTGCCTTAGCATATACATTTACAAGCGATCAGGTCCCATGTGCAGGATGCCCTAGGCGTCTATGCCAAGGTTAATACAATTTATTCGAAGCAAGTGCAAAATAAGCTTCTTCCTGACTACTACTCCTAGCATCAACATCCATTTGAAAAAAGTAAAGACCACCTCGTTCTTCACCTTGCAACATAATTTCACCAGACCTCTCATATCGAACACAACAACTTGTAGCTCGAAACTCAAAATAAACACCGCTGTCACTAGCAAGCTTTGACACCGGAAGCAAGTTCTTTGTTATCTTAGGCACATGCAACAAATCATTTAATAATAGTGCTCAAGAATTGGAGCTTAAGACAGAGTTACCAGTAGCATGACTAGAGAAAGAGACACCATTACCAACAATTAATTTACATGGACCAGATAAATCACCCTTATGACCAATGGCTAAAGCATCAGGTGTCACATGGTGTGATGCTCCAGAATCAACCACCCATTAATCACTATGAGCAGTAACAACATGAGCTTCAGTATGTCCTTTAGCACAACAAGAACATGTTGCACCATTTACTGGCACATCTTCAAGGTTGGAGTAGTTAACACTGCCAGTGTTATCTCTAGATGAATAACGACCAGAAACCCTACCAGAGAAGTTCTGATCAAAACGATGCCAACAATCAAGCACTAGGTGTCCATTCTTGCCACATAACTGGCACTGAACCCTTGGCCTCCCACGACCTCGTCCTCGAGTAGCATAGCCAAATTCATTTCGATAATCAGATCGATTTTAAGAGTTTTTCTTACTCGGTTTGGAACCAATACTCATATTAGTTACATGAGCACTCATTGGAAATTGATCATCTCAAGCGTCAAAGCCAGCAATCTAAGTCTCAACATCAATCAACAACGGACACACCTTATCGAGGGACAATGAATCTTTTATTTTGGTCATGAAGGTAACATACGACTGATATTCCCTGGAGAGACCTTTTAAGATACTTGCAACTTGCTATGCTATGGAGATCGTACTGTTACACGATGCTAACGTATCACAAACCTCCTTGATCCGAGTAAGGTAGGTCCTCAAGATGTCATCTCCTTTCTTGAGTGACTGAAGCTTATAATGAAGGCTGATGACTGCCGTTGTAGAGCGATTTGAAAAAAATTTCAAAACCTTGTTCTAAACAGCTATCGTTGTCTCTGCCCCAACAAACTGAGAAAGCAAATGGGAACTGATCGTTGACAGTAGCCACGAAGCAAGTGCACTATCTTGTGCCACAAAATCATCATACAAATCATTTGGCACAAACTCACCATTCGCACCAACCACAAAATCAGGTGAAGGTTGCATCGAACCAGTTAACAACTGCTCAAGCCGGTGACTCCAAACAGTTAACAAGAGTTGATGCTTCCAGAGTAAGAAATTAGACTCATCGAGAACGGCCTTCACCTTTTTGTGTGTAAAGGACTTAGCAGTCAAAGAGTCCATCTCCTCCAGCAGCTGAAGCAGCGAAGCAAAGCATACACCTCAGGAACGGAAAGCGAATGATACCATGATGAACAACTTGCTAGCTTACACGCAAGGGAAATATTTCAGCAAAAGAATTTCATTAAACTTGACCAAATTTCAGTGAAGGCTTGAAGCCTCTTTATACAGCTCATTACCTAGATAACAGAAGCATAACAAACTCATAACAGAAAGTTTAACGTGCACTCGCAATGCACACACGCACATGCAACGCTCAATAACTTCACGCAATTTTCAACATCTAAGTTAACATTGTTAACTTCACACACACTCAATCTTATTAGATAACAAACCTACACGATATGTTTCGGCGTTTGCTTTTATAGTGGGCGATGTCGACCACTTCAATGCTTGAAATAAACATGGCAAAAAAAGGCAAATCTCTTAATATCAAACAAATTAAGATCCTGATGTGATATTTCATGCAAATAAGGTGTAAGAATAAAGGTTATTATTGCCGATTTGAGCCCACCAGACAAAAAGGTTCCATAAGCACCAAAAAGATTGTGCCGGAGACAGAAGTTTGCAACAAGCTACCTTTCGTACGATCTGGTTGAACCCTCCAAAAAAAACCAGTCCACAGATTTGACCTTAGAAGTTGTCATTTTTAACTGCCTTTCTAGTTTTAGACTAAAGACCTATAAACACAAAGCATTTTCATAATGATATCATGACGCGATTGGAAATCATTTCACATTTAAAAAGCAATATCTTTGACTAATAATTTTATTTATAAAATTGAGGAAAGTTGATGCATGAATTAGCATATCTATAATTGGGGGACCTCCAGAGGATGTGCTCGACCCACCAGCCGATAGTGCAATTCGCTTTAGGACAAAACCAGCTACCTCTTGGCTGGTCCTACCCCTCTTTTTCCTTATCCGAACCCATCATCAATTTATCGTAACTATCATCTATCTTCTTGTTATTCCCTTCCTATTACAACCGGTTCCAATTGGCAGATCCAATCTCATTGACAAAATACATCTCCCCGACCAAAAAGAAAGGGGGGAGAGATCCCTTTACTTTGTTCCCATGATTGTCTGTTGAGACGGTTCACTTGTATGTTCTCTTTAGATTTTTTGATAACGATATGTCATGCCTTCTGTTAGATTAGATTCCAGTTTTGTTAAATGGAAATAGTTGTTTTTATTCGTGTTTACGAAATCCTTGCATTCTGTTAGTGGGGAAAATGAAGAAAGTGCTATAAACGAAACTGGGCTTATTAGGGAGTGGAAAACATTAAACTGAAATCTAACTTAGCAAGAAATGAGAAGATAAGCTAAAGATGGGAAGTTGAACCCATGTCAAACTTATAACACAACATTTTCAACATCTGATCCTACCAGAGACGCTTAGATCTCTTGGGTTGAGGCCTCATCTGTGGTACTGTAAAGGAATCATCTGTCCATCTCCTGTTAGCTTTCACCCCCATGATTTCCTTTGTTTCCTTGAACCCGATTTGCCCTCCCGTTTGTGAAGAATGTTGAGGATACAGGGAAGACGATGGCTGGGGAACCCAAATCCCTAAACTTTCTGGTGAGAAAGCATTCATATTGCTCTCGAAATCAGCATCAAGGAACGACAACATACAATCATCGCTCTGAATATAGATCCAAAAAACAAAAAATATATTCAAATCCAAAAGAAAATCACATAATTATTAATAATAAAAAAACAATTTGTCAAAGCTAAATAGTAAGAAAAGGATAACCATAGATGAATGCAAACCTTACGGAAACCAAGGGGAGGTGAAGTGGAATCAAGGAAATCTTCGACGTGCCACCCTGGAAGCATCTCTATCAAGTACTCAGATATGCTACTTGTTGACCCACCGTCTTCAGTTGCTAGAAGGTTATCTCCGGTGCTCTTGTCATTTGTTACTGCTGTTGTTGTACTGATTGATGAAGATTTAGCAAGTGAAGGTGGATTGAAATTTGCTGGAGAAGCAGAGATAGGGTTCTTGACCAATAGTGGAGACTTGAATTCAGGAACAGAATCAGCAACGTTGGATAAGGAAGCGATGGAGGATGTATAGAAAGAAGAGGTAGCCGAGAGTTTAACTCCTGTAAGAAGAAACCTGTTATGTTTCTGGGTATGTTCGTTTACCGCATGAATTGGAACATCACAATCTCTGCATAGAATTGCTCTGTCCTGCTGACAGAACAAGAAAGCTCGTTTCTCCTAAAAAAAAAATAGGAAAATCAAAATCAATCCACCGATGCAGTAGGTCCAATTTCCAACAAGTACACAATAACACAAAGTACAAAAAGAACCCAGAGATCAGAAAGTGAAAATTACCTGACAGATATCACAAAGAGGGGCTTGTTTCGAAGAGGAAGGATGGAGAAGGGAAAAACGTTGGTGTTTAGAGGCAAGCTTGTTGGCGTGGTGAACTCGGCGGTCACAGGCGTCGCACAAGGCGGCCTCGTCTGCGGTGCAGAATACTGAGGCCTCCTCTTTGTCACACACATCGCACTGAATCTTCATCTGTTTATTGATCTTTGCTCCAATCCGATCACTCTGGATCCCCAGACAGAGAGGAATACCGTGAAGACGGTGAAAGTTTGGAACCCCAGAAGAGAAGGAAATAGAGGTTTATATGCATTATGCATATCTATGCAGTAAACAGTAATATATTGCTTTGACGTTATTAAGATTCATATTTCAGATGCTGTAAGGATAGTGGGAAGCACATGAATATAATAATTTTTCTTTAAAATATTTTTTGATAAATTTTAATTTTAAATTTAATTTTACTTTAAGAAAGAAAATAAAAATTTTCAAAAAAAATTAAATTTTTTAATAACCATAAACTAATAACTTAAGAAAATATAATGAAACAAAGTTGAATAATGTAATCAATAAATTAAATATATTTATTCTTAAAATATTTTAAAATTATTGTATATGATAATAATAATTAACTAAATATATCAAAGTAGTCATATAAAATTATAAATATTTTATTTAATACAATATTCTTATATAATATATTAACTACTAAAAGTAGCATAATGACACTGGTTGGTAAAACTTTAGTCTTATTTTAAAATAATTATGTAAGGTGAAGATAACGCTAATAATAGCTCCTCTAAGGATCCAAGGGACAATGACTTGTGATTTCCTTTAATTAAGTTAATAAGCTTTCAAACTTTTCGATATCATAAACTATATTGTTAACATAAACTGTATATTTTTAATTACCATATTCTCTCATTTTCTTTATAAATGGCATCATCATGGTCGTCGTATAATGAAAGCTGTTGTACCATTTTTCTGTAAAATAAATAGTTAACTAATCAAAACAAAGGTGCTGTGCATCAGCATGGTCGTCATCCGATATAGCTGTTGTACTGTAAATTTATAGTTTATTACTGAAAGCATTGGTGATTGGTGAACCAGAATTCTTATATTTGTTATTATCCTCATGACAGCTATCAACCATCTCATCAAATACGATTTTGTTATCTAAATATTATTTATGGTTATATCATCTAAAAATTATTGATGAAAATAATATTTTTTATCATGTAATATAGAAATAAGTATGTGTTATTAAAAAATATTTTAAAAAATACATTTTAGCATACCTTATCTTTAAACAGTATAATCAATAAAACTAAAAAAAAGACACATTTTACAAAATACTTCTCTTGAATTTTAGCCATTTCACTAAAGATGTTCGATTTAAAATTTTGAAGTTCTATAATTTTTTAATTTGAATGGTTTTTATATTTTTGTTTTAGAGTTCTAAGATCAGGGTATTTAAAGTGTTTTATTGTGGTATGGTGTAATCATTTAAGGCTTGTGATATTGTTTTAAAGCTGAATTTATCTTATTAAAATATAATAAAATCTTTGCATATAGAAATATATAACACTTTTGGTAAAAAAAAATATAACACTTAAAAATATTTGAAACGAAAAAATAATTTTAGCAATAACAATATATTATAAATAATATCGAAGTTATGAGATATTAAAATAAATGAATGTTTTGTATACGATAGAAAAAATATTAACTCGCGAATTAATTGATTTTGGGTATTAGAATAATAAATACCTACTAATGTGTTAAGGACCGCGAATCCAAGATCGAAGGAAATTCGATCAAGGCTGCCCAAAGCTTTTTTTTACCATGTTTTGGGCCTTCCAAAAGATCTAGAAGAGTTTCGAGAAGACCCAAATGAGCTGACCCACTCATTTAGATAAATAGATAAGGCATGATAATTCCTTATTTATATTGTAGTTAAATCCAACAATTATCTCTTGTAATTATCCATTTAAAATTGATACAAAATAGAGTTTTAGATAAAATAAGGTTTCTCCTGAACCATTGATGTAATTCAATTGTAATCGTTGGATGTAGGAAACTCCAGCTATAAAAGGAGGCTCTACCCTACTTCATTTTCCAGAATCACTTTGAGGAAACAAGTTAGCTTCACTCATTCTCTCTTCTCTTTACTTTGAGTGCATGTCTCTTTGTTTTTCATTTCTTTTGTTTGTTTCCGTTTTGCTTTAAGCTATCTTTGTTCAAGTGCTTGGGTTACTTAGCTAACGATTCAACTAAGAACGCAACTAAGGTCGCACGAGCTTGCTAGCAACAGTCTAGCCCCGTGACAAGTGATATCAGAGCTAGTTTTGTTCGAGTGAGATGGAACCACAATATGTTGAGGCAACAACTTCTTAGGGATAGGAGCCCCGTTTTCCCTTTCTTTTTTTTCTCTTTACTTTGAGCACATATCTCTTTGTTTTCCCTTTCTTTTGTTTGTTTTCGTTTTGCTTTAAGCAATCTTTTCTCAAGCGTTGGGTTACTTAGCTTTCGATTCGACTAAGAACGCGACTAAGGTCGTACAAGCTTACTAGCAACAGTCTAGCCTCATGATAAGTGGTATCATAGCTAGTTTTGTTTGAGTTAGATGGCACCTTAATATGTTGAGGCAACAATTTCTTAGGGATATGAGTCTCGCAATCCTTTGAAGAAGAGAGCTACGTCAAAGGATTTCTTGACGTCAATTCAAAGGATAGTTACCAAGCTGGAGAATTATATGAATAAGGTCAAGGAGGTCACAGAGTATTAGAGTCTGTAGATCTGAATAAGCTGGGGTCATTGGATTTCGATAAGGTGAAGGCCTACGGGAGTATCCAGGAGGAGGTATAATCAACCCTCAATGAATTTGACATCAAGATAGAGGAGCGTGGTAATGTTATTGATGCCATGATTGAGGCCTTGAGAAAAGAAGTCGTTGAAATCAAGAGTCGGAGTTCTGACTCTGAAGTTGTCGAGCTGAAAAGAGAGGTTGAGATAATCAAGAACGTGTTGTTAGTGTGCAAAGCTGCGTTTGGGAGTAACCTGACGGTTATAGTACCTAAAGTCGTGTGTGATATTCATAAGCCTGATAAGTTTAAAGAGGCCAGGTCCACCTAGGATGTAGAGAAATTTCTTTGGGGGATAGACCAATACTTCTAAGCCATGGACATTGAGGATAATGCCAATAAGGTAAGCATTGTTAGTGCTTACTTATCTGAGGGGGCACTTTTGTGGTGGCGACGGAGGTACAACGATATGAAGCGGGGGAGTTCCACCATCGAGACTTAGCAGGCTTTCCAAGTTGAGTTCAAGGAATAGTTTTATCCAGAGTATGTTGAGGAGGAGGCAAAGTCAAAGTTGAGTCGCTTCAAGCAAGAAGGATCACCAAGGGACCATGTTCGAAGGTTTATCAAACTGAGTCTCCAAGTCCCGAGTTTGGATGAAGATGACGAGTTATTTACCTTTATGGATGGGGGCTGAAGCCATGAGAAAAGAACCAGCTAAGGTAGCAGGGTTGCAATGATCTCTCCACTGTATTGACGATGACTAAGTCAGTCATTGAGCTTGGCATCAAAAAGCCTAACTCTTCTAAATCGAAATCAAAATTCAAAGATGGAGATAAAAACAGGGAAAGTTATCCATAGATGGTAAGGATTTGAGTGGCGCGGCTAAGCCATCAAATGCCAAGAATGGAGATAAGAATGACAAGGAACCTATCTAATGTTACAACCGCAAGGGCCTTGGGCACTTGACGAGGGGTGTCCGTAGAAGAACAAGATTTAATGTCATCATGGACAAGGATGGGGAAGAGACTGAGACTCTAAAGCTTGGCTCCATACTCAGTAATATGAAGCTCAAGAGAGACGGAAGAAGAAGGGGTTGATATTCGTGGATATCAACGTTGCTGGAAAAAAGTTAAGTTCGCTAGTTGATACGAGTGCCTCGGAGTTGTTCATGTCAAAACAAGTTGCTAAAAAGCTTAACCTTCATATAGAAAAGGCAAGTAGTACCATCAAGACCGTAAATTCCAAAGAAGTTTTGATTGCGGAAGTCGTAAAGGGAGTGTAGTTAGTTGTTGAGGGATGGTTCGGCAAGGAGGACATCAAGGTATTCCTCTTGATGACCTTGATTTTGAACTTGCTTTGAGTTTTTTACACTGAATTAGTGCATTGTTCTAGTGAATCAAGGGTCCGAAGTAGGGGCCAAGATCTAGTCCGCAATTTAATTCTCGAAGGTGACCCAATGAGGAGCTGACCTTCTTGTCTAACTTGGTGTGTGATGTTGTTATCACAATCGAGAAAGTTCCTAGTGAAGTAGGACGTATGCTGGTAGAATTTATGGATATGATGAGTGTCGATTTATCAAAAAAGTTACCTCCGTAGTGGGAGGTTGATCACAAGATTAAGCTTGTGCCAAATTATGAGCAACCCGCCTGAGCTCCTTATCGAATGGCTTCGCCCGAGTTAGAGGAGATGAGTAGATAGTTGAAGGATCTCATTGATGTTGGTTATATCTGACCTTTCAAGTCACCCTACGGTGCTCTGGTGTTGTTTCAAAAGAAGCACGATGGGTCACTTCGAATGTGCATTGACTATAGAGGTTTGAATAAACTCACAATGAAGAACAAGTATCTCATTCCTCTTATTGTAGACTTATTTGATCAACTTGGTGATGTGAGGTAGTTCACTAAGTTAGATTTGCGATCGAGATATTACCAAGTCAGGATAGCCAAGGGAGATGAACTGAAGACAACTTGTGTGACGAGGTACGATTCATGTGAATACATTGTGATGCCTTTTGTCCTTACGAATGCTCCTGCCACTTTTTGTACGTTGATGAATAATGTACTACAACACTTTCTCGATAAGTTCATTATAGTCTACCTGGATGATATCGAGGTTTATAGCAAGACATTGGATGAGCATGATGAACACTTGAGGAAGGTGTTCATAATCCTACGAGAGAATGGGTTCTATGTTAAGAATGAAAAGGAAGTTCTGTTTCTCGGTCACATTATTAGAGGTGGCGTGATCAAGATGAACAGGGACAAGATTCAAACCATTGAACAGTAGGAAGCACCAACCAAGATAAAAAAATTTGAGATCGTTCTTCGAGTAAGCTAACTACTATCGAAGGTTTATCAAAAATTACTCCAGAATTATTGCAACATTGATCGTGTTGTTGAAAAAGGCCAAGGCATAAGATTGGGGACCAGAGTGTCAAAAAGCCTTTAAAAAACTCAAGCTCGCAATGGTGAACGAGTCGGTCTTGGTGCTGTTAGATTATACCAAGCCCTTTGAGAT